AGTAATTTAGAGAAAAGACTCAAAATCCCTGACTTTCTAGTTAGTACATAAATTAAAAACTCACATATAGAATAAAAATATTTGTTTTAAAACTTTACATTTCCACTGTTACTTAACATGAGTAACAAGAGAAACTGTGTATGTGTGTGTGCATGCGTATGTGCTTGTGTGTTTGTGTGTCTTCTAGCCCTATGGTTGATGGCATTGTTTTGGTGAATACCTGACACCAGACCAGGATCTCTGTAGTTCTCTTGTTCTTTCCTTTTTGATCTCAATATTACAACAATAATACAGCTCCAGGCTAATGTTTGCATTAAAGACACCAGAAAAAGGAGAAAGTGTTTTACCAGCCTGTCTATACCCAAAAGGAAAGCAGATTTTTTTTTTCTCATAAAATTTCATTAAAATTCCTACTTATAGGCCTGCAAGGAAGTTTAATAACCTGATATTGGGAACATTTCTTTCTGTAAAGATTCAGTATGTAATATTTTTTTTTAAATAAATCTTTATTGTTCAGATTATTACAAATGTGTTCCTCTTCCCCCCTCAATTGCTCCCCTCCACCAGGTTCCCACCCCACCCTCTGTCCTTTCCCCATCCCCCATTGTCCTCATCCATAGGTGCACAGTTTTTGTTCAGTCTCTTTCCGCACCCCCACTCCCCTTTTCCCCCAGAATCGTCAGTCCACTCCCCTTCCATACCTCTGATTCTATTATATTCACCAGTTAATGTGGTTCATCAGATTTTTTAATTCCCTTGGTTTTTAGATTCACTTGTTGATAGTTACATATTTGTTGTTCATAATTTTTATCTTTATTTACTTCCTCTTCCTAAAGAACCCCCTTCAGCAATTCATATAATTCTGGTTTGGCAGTGATGAACTCTTTTAGCTTTTTTTTTTTTTATTTGTGAAGCTCTTTATCTGGCTTTTGATTCTGAGTGATAGCTTTGCTGGGTAGAGTATTTTTGGCTGTAGGTTCTTGCTATTCATCATCTTGAATATTTCTTGCCATTCCCATCTGGCCTGCATGGTTTCTGTTGAGAAATCAGCTGACAATCATATGGGTACTCCTTTATAGGTAACTACCTGCTTTGCTCTTGCTGCTTTTAATATTCTCTCTTTGTCTTTTGCTCTTGGAATTTTAATTATGATGTGTCTTGGTGTGGTCCTCCTTGGATTCCTTTTGTTTGGGGTTCTGCGGGCTTCCTGGACTTGTAAGTCTATTTCTTTCCCCAGGTGGGGGAAGTTTTCTGTCACTATTTCTTCCAGTATTCTTTCGGTATCTTGTTCTCTCTCTTTTTCTGGAATCCCCATAATTCTGATGTTGGTTTGCTTGAAATTGTCCCAAAGGTTTCTTACCCTATCTTCAACTTTCTGGATTCTCTTATCTTCTCGCTTCTGCAGAGGAGTGTCCTCTGGCTCTTTGTGTTCTAAATCTTTGTCTTGATTCCTGTGATCTTCCAGTCTGTTTTTAGGACTCTGTGTAATATTTTTTATTTCAGACAATGTTTTCTTTATTTCTAGTTAATCCCTTTTCATATCCTCATAGGACTCATTTATTTTATCGGCCTTTTTTAGGATATTGTTGAATAACCTTATAACTGTAGTTTTGAACTCAATGTCCAATCTTTTCTTTTCCTCCATCTCCTTCCTTTGTGTCCTTCCTCTTGTCTGCATTTTAGTTGTTTTTCCCTGATTTGATGGAATAGCTTTGTGTGCTAGGTGTTCTGGTAGAGCCCAGTAGCACGGCCTTCCCAGTTACCTGCTTTGGACAGACTTGGTGTAGCCCTTGTTGTTAAGCCTTGCTTATTGTTGGTATCACTGGGAATTGTTGATCTCCAAGCCAATTGGCTGTGAGGATCAGCAGTGTCTGAGCTAGGAGGGCTTCTGTACACCGCTTGGATAGGGCGGGGTCTTGGGTGGCACAGACAATTTTTGGTTCCCTGTCAGTCTCGCTTTAGAAAAGTCCTGTTCGTGGAGAGTTTCTTAAGATTGGTTGCAGGCGCACACACCTCTTTGGTAAAGGTGCAGACAAGCTTTGGCTTCTGGCCAGACCCTCCTTAGAGAAAGCCAGCCACTGGGAGAGCTTCTGTGTTCAGCTACAGATGAGGCAGAGTCTCAGGTTGATGCAGACAAACTTTGTTTTCCCTTAGGCTCCTCCCCAAGTCCCGCAGTAATGGCCTCTGGCTTCACATACCTCTGAGAGATCTCTGCCCACTGCCTGACAGTCTGACCTCTCCCTGTCTGGGGCCATCTATCAGAGCAATAGGCTGATTCTGTTTTCTTCTCAAATAAGAAAGCCAGCCGCACATTAGCTGTCCGCCCTCTCCGCGCGCCAGGAGTAAGCCAGTTGCAAACTCAGCCCGGCCCGCCCTCTCCGAGCCAGGAGTAAGCTAGCAGCAATCTCCGTCTGGCCTAGGGGTGTCAAACTCAATCAGAGAAGGGGCCAAAATCTAAAATCCAGCCTAAATCGTGGGCTGAATGGTTTACTGAACAGTCATAAACTGTCATTGTGATGGAAACGCACCGGAGTGCAGTGATGACAGCAGGGTGCGGGCCACATTGCAAGGCCTGGCGGGATGGATTTGGCCCGCAGGCCTTGTGTTTGACACATGTGGTCTGGCCCTTCCTCTCCCCACGCCAGGAGTAAGCCAGCGCTTTTTTGCGCACACAGTTCTCTGTACCTTCACAGTTCCTGAGGTTCAGCATGCCTTCTCTCTCCTTCCCAGATGGCAGAGCCTCCTCTTAGCTAGCCATCCAGCGCTTCAGGGCAATGCCTCCCCTGTTTTCCAGTTCTAAATTCAAATTTGTTGTGGTAGGCTGCATTCGGGTATCTACCCTATGCCACCATCTTGGTTTTCCAGTATGTAATATTTCAATTATGTTTATTTCACATCCTCAAAGAAGTGACCACTTTTCTGTTTTGTTCTTGCTGGTAGTATATGGAACAAAAGTTAACATTTATTGAGCACTCAGTATGTGTCAAATACTTAATACATAGCTCATTTAATTCTTACAACAACCTTATGAGACCAATATTAGTATTGTCCCCATTTAATAATGAGATAACTATGTTCAGAGAGGTTAGGCAACTCACTCAAAAATACACAGGTAGCAAATAATGCACCCGTGATGCAAATCCAGACACTCACTTTTAATCATTCTGGGGGTTTTCCCCAGCTTATTGAGATATTATTGACATATAATATGTCATTTTAAGATATAAAATGTGATATGATACACATACATATTGAAAAATAATTAACACAATAAGGTGTTAACACCTCCATTCCCTCATATAATTACCATTTTTGTATGTGTGATGATAACTTTTAAAATCTACTCTCTTAATAACTTTTAAATATGCAATATAGTATTGTTAATTGTAGTCACCATGCTCAACATTAGATCCTCAAAATTTATTCATTTTATAATTGGGAATTTGTACACTTTGACCAACATCTCCTCTTTCCTCTGCCTGTCAATCATTTTGAGATAAAGGAAGGAAGGAAGGAAGGAAGGAAGAAAGGAAGGAAGGAAGGAAGGAAGGAAGGAAGGAAGGAAGGAAGGAAGGAAGAAGAAGGAAGAAGGAAAGGAGGGGGGGGAGAGAGGGAGGGAGAGAGAAAGGAAAGGAGGGAGGGAGGGAGGAGTTGTGTGGACAGTAGTAAGAAGGATAAAGGTAAGCAAGTAGGTAGCAGATAGAGGTGGATTTACTATGAAGCTAAAGAAATTTAACCTTTGGGGCCCCTCATTTGCACAGGCTTTACCAACACCTTGAATGAGGCCCTAGAAATATATTTATTTTTTTAAAAAAATTTGTGACATTTTCAAAAGTTTAGCTACAATTAGTTAAGATATCTGTCTCTTCACTCTAACTCACCCTCAGTTATTCTTGTCCTCTTGATAGGGACATTGAATGGTCATGGGTGATTTTAGATCCAGCTAAAGGTAAATTGAGTTTAGGGTGTGTTTAGTTTGGATTTAACAGAATATACTTATGTCCTGCTCATTGAGGTGTATGAATAACTTTTATTTTTAGTTGTTATAAATTGAATGTTTGTGTCCCCCTAAAATTCATATGTTGAAATCCAAATGCCCAATATGATGGTATTAGGTGGTGGAGATCTTTGGGAGATAATTAGATCATGATGTGAAACCCTCATGAGTGAGATTAATGCCCTTATAACAAGAGATATGACAGAAATGATCTCTCTGTTATATGGAGGCACAACAAAAAGATGCTTATCTATAAAATAGGAAGAGGGTTCTCCCCAAAACCCTACCATTCTAGAATTCTGATTGTCATACTTCTCAGCATCCAGAACTGTGAGAAATAAATTTCTGTTGGCTAAGCCACACAGTTTATGATATTTTGTTGCTGTTTTTTTTTAAAGCCTGAAATAATTAAGGTATTATTCATCCTGATATAAGCATGGCTTCTAGGGAAATTCCTACTCCCTATTATGTCAAGTAACCAGCTTCATTATATGAAGATACCATATATGCTTTCACCAGAGATAGTGTCATCATATGAATGTGGTCTATGGTGCCTGTTCTGAAAAAACGTATTGGCATTAAAAAAGAACAAGGTTTGAAATGCATGGGGTCAGAGCTGCTCTACAGAAAATTCTGAGTATCAGATATTTAAAATTGTAAGCAAGGAATTTGTTCAGTGAATAGTCAAATGAAATGTTTTCCTTCTTATGAATATTCTAGCTAATACAGAATATGACTTTATAATACACCTTATGTTTATTTCCTTTTGGAAGGGAATTGTACTACATATAATTAACCAGCATCCTTACATTTTTAAGGCAAAAACCTATGGTTATACTACAAACAAAAATATGGCTATGAGTAAACCCAAATTTTACATGCATTTTACTGTGCCTTAGGATTGCACTACCAATAACTAAAGTATAAATACTATAGACTGAATGCTTATGCACTCAACCCCTAAGTTAATATGTTGAAACTTAAACCCTAATGTGATGGTATTAAGAGGTCATTAGGTCATGTGGATGAAGCCTTCATGAATGGGATTAGTGCCCTTAAAAAAGAGACCCTAGAGAGCTCTCTCCATTTCTACTCTGTGAAAGCACAATGAGAAGATGGCCATTTATGTGTCTATGAACCAGGAAATGGGTTTCTACCAGAGGCCAAATATGTTGGCAACTTGATCTTGGATTTCTTAGCCTCTAGGTCTATTTATATTAGTAATAGGGAAATATGCAAATTGTCCAGGACACCATCACAGTAATGACCAAACAGCAGGCTGCATGGGGAAACAAGGCTTGCAGGGGAAGTTATTGAGGAACATTAAACGACTGAACAGCAGGCTACCTGGGGCAACCAGGCCACTAGGGGGAGGCAGTTAGGGGTGACCAGGCCAGCAGGGGGGAAGTTGGGGTGACCATGCTGGCAGGGTGCAGTTGGGGAGGACCAGGATGGCTCAGGGGGTAGTTGGGGGTGACCAGGCTGGCGGAGGGGACAGTTGGAGGTGACCAGGCTGGCAGGGGGGGGAAGTTAGGGGTGATCAGGCAGGCAGGCAGGCAGATGAGCAGTTAGGAGCCAGTGGTCCCAAATTGTGAGAGGAATGTCTAACTGCCATTTAAGCCCAATCTGTCTGTCATCCCCCCAAGGGGTCCAAGATTGGATAGGTGCAGGCTGGGCTGAGGAGATCCCACCCCAATGCACTAATTTTGTGCATTGGGACTTGAGTAAAAAATAAATTTCTATTGTTTATAGGCCACCCAGTCTGAAGAAATTTGTCATAGCAGCACAAATGAATTAAGACAAAAGCTCTTCTATCAATAAAAAGATACAAATTTTTTCAACTAGTTGTGCTAGAGGAAAGGATTAATTTAATTTTCCATATATATAGAATAATACTACAAAACCTTTGTCATATAAAGAGATAATTAAAGAGCATACACCCTAAAAATGTAGGAAAAAGTGTTAAAGAGGCATTTCAAGGGATAAATTAATAAAGAGATACATTATTTTTCTGAATTGTGTGATTATTGTGGGTTTTTATTCAGCTTTTAAAAATTGTAGCTTGTTATAATTTGTTTTTTAATTTTAGATAAATATTAATTTGTATTTATAATTTTGTGATCTTTTTCTAAAAGGGGCTTCAAATATTGCATGAGTGATATGACTCTTTATAATATGGTTCTGCCCCTGAAGAAAGAAAGGAAGATAATACTACCTAATCAGCATATACTTAAACAAGAGCAACACAAACACTATTATAAAGATTACAAGTATGAGCAGTGAATGGATCAGTCAGGGTGGTGAGAAAAGCACCCCTTTCCCTGTATGATAACTATGGAAATTTGTGTTTAAAGCCTCTATAGTACTTAATGTTATCCAGACTGATTACGGAAAAGCTGAGTAGGGAAAATTGGCAACAGCATTTATTCACTGAACTTTTGAAGACACTCAATATTTCTATCTACAATTTTTAGTACAAAATCAAGTACCACAATATTAGTATAGTCATGACTATATGGAAAATAAGAAACAAAGGCATTGAACCAGCTAATAAAGAATTCAACTTCTGAAGGAGTAATGATGGAGACAGATGATGAATGCTCTCAGCAAGACAGATTGTATCAGAGATGAGAATAGAGAATAATGTGCAAACATCAGAAACAAAAGGACAAATGACAACAGTACGAGAGTGAGCAAGGAGGGCTCAGAATAATTTCAAGGGAGTGAGAGAGCCTAACACTGATGTTGCATAGCTCAGTTCAGCATTGCTCTATCCACACTTACCAGTTGAGGTTTTATGGAGCTAGACAAAAGAACGGTAATGTCACAGGGCCTATTGGGCTGTGTTTATTGTCTCTTTAGCAATTTAAGATCTAATTAAAGGAAAAATGATAAATAAAAAGAACTAAATAAGAGGGAATGGAGAGAACATTGGAAATGCTGAGAGATATATATACAGAGAATAATGACAGAAAAGAAAGTGGAGAAGGGAGGAGGATGCATACTTACTAGAAGCCCAGTGCACAAAATTTGTGCACAGGTGGGGTTCCTTGGGGTGGCCTGCAGAGATCCAGCCCCAATTCAAGCCCCCAGGCTTGCAGCCCCACTTGTATTCACCTTGGCCTGGAACTGCCTGATCCATCATCTCACTGCGGTCTGGCTCTCATTAGGGCTCATTGGGGCTGGCGGCACCTCCATTGCTGCCTGCTGCCAGTGCTGACACCTGCCATGTTCTGAAAGCCCCCTGGTAGCCAGCACATGTCATAGCCAGCATGTCGAGCTGGTTAAACAATTTGCATAATATGTTTTTTTTTATATAGGATAGTTTTGTTTTAGTTCCATGGCTGGCCTTCGCTCCAACTCCATCCCATGCCATAATACTCTGTTCTCTGCTTTTACAGAGGACAGGGGTTAGGGGTGAAGAGTGTTGATTAAGGAGGACTCCTGGGTAAGTGATTTTTATAATAGAAAGAAGAGCAAAAAGAACCTATCTTGGAATGAGATGTCAGCTACACTTTATTGGATTTACCCAAACTATAATCATAATAGTAATTGCTTGTGTTGATTGAGTATGTGTCATGGACCAGATATTAGTCTAAGCACCTTACAAACAATTTTGCATTTAATGTTCACAACACTGTGAAGTAGGTATAAATATTATTTCTATTTTACAAGTTGAGAACATTCAAGCCCAGAAAAGTTAAGAAATATGCCCCAGGTCACAGAAATAGTAATTGGTGGAGTTTTTAGAATGGTCTTTCTGAAAAGAGAGTTCAGGTTCTTTTACTCTACAACTTGGTACCTACAATTAAAAAATGAACGCTCAACTGTGACTCACTTTAGAAGCAAATAATTTCCATTTATAATTTTTCTAACTTAAAGTTGCGGATAAGATGTCATTTCATCTTTTATTATTTATCCACCTTTCTCATTCACCCATGTACCTCTGTATGTGCAGAGGAGGCATTTCACTGCTGACTTCCTCAAGTAGAAAATGTTATAGCAGTCTATGCTGAATCCTTTCTTTCATGTTTCTTATAAGCATCCAGATATTGGCACCAATCTCCTAAATTAGTGCTCCAGCCAAAAGTTAGAGTCAGCTTGTTGAGCATATTTTATATTCCATCCTTACTGGTTAATGAATTTGGGTTCCATTAACCAACACCCAGTGACTTTCAGCATTCCCTTAGAATCTGTGTAGCAAGTTGTTCTTTACAGATGGCTCCTCTGCATGCAGGCTGGAGGTAACTGTGCTGTCTAAATCTCAGTGTCTTGCCAGTTTAGTAAATCAATACAATTATAAAAAATAGCTAAGACGCTAATTCCCATTAGGAACTAATAGTCAACAATATTTCTTCTTCTTTTTTAAAAATATATTTTATTGATTTTTTACAGAGAGGAAGGGAGAGAGATAGAGAGCTAGAAACGTCGATGAGAGAAAAACATTGACCAGCTGCCTCTTGCACACCCCCCAACTGGGGATGTGCCCACAACCAAAGTACATGCCCTTGACCGGAATCGAACCTGGGACCTTTCAGTCCGCAGACCGACACTCTACCACTGAGCCAAACCGGTTTCGGCAATAGTCAACAATATTTCTTATCTTGCCTTGAAACTGTGTTTGAGTTAGAAAGCACTAGATTTATCTTTACCCTTATATAACTCAACTATTCAAAGTTGGCATTGCATAATTTTTATCATACAATACATAAATTATCTCTCAAGCAAAAATATTAATAAATTTTTACTTTAAAAGAAATTTAGATTTCTATAATGAATATCAATGAAAAGTGAAAATCTTCTCCAAGATTCTGGTGAATTTTAGACTAGATATTACAGCCATCTAAAAAATACATGGTGTCCCAAGAAAATGTATACAACCTTTGAGTAATTATAAAGGCAGTGTTTATTAAAATACATTTCATTTTCAAAATGTAATAGAATCAGTTGTTAAGTATATATACATTTTGGGGGATGCTTCTGTATATAATATTGTGCCAAATAATAAATATATGTCATAAAATATGACTAACCATTAGCAATTCTAGGCTTGTGTTAATTAAAACATTATCAGAAGAGCTCACATTAAGGGTTTGCCGTGTATATGTTATAGATGTGGGAGAAAGCAAGTCAAAACAGGCAATGTTGTTGGGAATGAAGAGCAGTGGTCTCTGGAATGCTTTTGTCTTGGATCTGTGAGAAAATGAAGGGAACCATTTTAGATCCTTGGGTTTGGAATAAAATAGGTCTGATATTGGCCTTGAGTAAGTTACTTTAGCCTTTGTGAATTTCAATTCTCACCTGCAAAATTGGGATCATAATTTAGCTGAGCACTAAACATTCTGTGTAAAAAGCACAGAACTATAGACATTCCATAGGACATCTCATAAATTTCCCTCAGGGATTTAAAATCCAAAAGTGAACTTACCAACTCTCCTTCCTTCCCCACCACTCCTGCCCATTTCAATTACTCAAATCTAAATCATAGAATTATCATTGAGTCCCTCAACTTCCATATTTAGTTAGACCTGCAAATGCTGTAGAAACTCTCTCTTCAATGTATCTGACCTTGTACCAAGGTGAGGAGGGTTTTATATGAAGCCTTGAGAGTCCTGGGGGAAAGGTGGGGGGGGAAGGAATGTAATATCAGATGCATCTCTTGGCCCCTTTTTCTCACCCTCTAAAAGCTCAGAAACTTCATATGGTCCAAGGTCTGCCACTTCTATTCATACTCTGGCACAAAATTTTTCTGATGAGGTTATTACCTTAAATTGTCCCTCATGATAGTGTGAAAAAAATCCTAAGATGACTTCCAATTTCATTTAAAGCCACCAACCACAGTCATTCACAGAGCCTCCTCACACAGATATAAAGTGGTGGAAAACAGAAATATTTTGAAATCCTTACCAATATATTTTCCCTTCTTGGTAATTGTTTTAGATTTAATAGTGTTCTCAGATCTCAAATTCCTATGTTGACATTCTAACCCCAGTACCTCATAATGTCATCTTATTTGGACATAATAAGATCTTTACAGAGGTAATCAAGTTAAAATGAGGTCATTAGAATGGACCCTAATCC